TTCTTCTTATAAATTTATTTTCCATACACACAGAAACTAAAATACTCCTTGGGGGCTTAAGAGAGCTTCTTAAACAGTTTGGAGGACTCTTTTGTGCCTGCTCCATTGAGCACATCAGCCAGAGAATTAGAAGAATAGATGCCCTGCCACTGAAATGCCCGAGCAAAGTGCAAAGCATTCTCCTTCATATAAAAACTCAGGTCAAAATGGTTGTTTCTGGTTCATCATCAGGAACGAGCTATTAAATTCAGTTTGCAAGCAATGTCCCATTCACATTTCAAAAAATAAAAAGAAAAATCACACAAAACAAACAGTGGCTTTGTGTGAGTCTGCTTACCTAGTTTAATTTTGCATTAAACATTGCCTCTAGGATTTGTATGCACATGTCTGAGGGAGGGGAACTCAACTTTTTCTATCTTTGATCCCAATGGCCCAATTCCCATTGACTCAAACTCAGGTCAGCTGGGGACTTCTCTGCAAGACTTCTCCGTGTGCAAGCGATGCAGGAGACACTTGGGTTGTATGTTTGGCTCTTTGACCGTGACGTTGAAGAGCAGCCACATGTCTTCATACCTGTGTGTGGTGGCACAGCCCACTGGGTGCCATCAGGGTGTAGATGAAAGCACCAAAAGGTTGTCATCCCTAGAAGCAGGTGATTAATGCTCGGCCACAGAGATCTGTGGGTATGGAATCAGTCAGGTTTTAGAGTGGTACAATTATAAATTCATAGCCAGACTGTCATGATACAAATTAGTCTCAGTGCTCACTTCTTTGGCAAAACTCCCATTCTTTGGATGCCTTTCTGGTGGAATTTACTGTGACATGAAAGATATCCAAAATACGGATAGAAGGAATAGTTTTCCAAGTGCAAAATTCACCACAAGTGTTCACCATAAAATAAGCTGTAAGGGAGCTTTCATGTCTCTGGTCCACAAGAGGGTCAGCTTTGAAGTGAGATGAAGTTATTCAGGGCCTTATCCAGGTGGGTTTTGAATATATTCAAGCATGGAGAGTCTACAACCTCTCTGAGCTCCTGTTCTAGTGCTTGATCATCTTCACTATGCAGCTCTTCTCTTTATATGTAATTGGGATTTACCTTGCTCCAGCTGGTGTTCACTGCCCCTTGCCCTTTTGCTGTGCACCCCCAAGAAGAGTTTGGCTCCATCTTCTCTAAAACCACTTAATAGGTAGTTACACAGAGCAATAAGATATTCTCTTAGCCATGTCTTCTTTGGGATGAACAACCAGCATTCTCAGCCTGTCCTTGTACACCACAGGATCCAGCACCCTGAGCATCCTGGTGGCTGTTGCTGAACTTGCTTCAGTGTGGAACCATAGAATCCTAGAATGGTTTGAGTTGAAAGGGATCTTAGAGACCTTCTAGTTCCAACTCTCCTGCCATGGGCAGGGACACCTCCCACTAGACCCAGGTTGCTCAGAGCCCCATCCAACGTGGCCTTGAACACCTCCAACACATCTACCACTTCTTGAACCATAGAATCCTAGAATGGTTTGAGTTGAAAGGGATCTTAGAGACCTTCTAGTTCCAACTCTCCTGCCATGGGCAGGGACACCTCCCACTAGACCCAGGTTGCTCAGAGCCCCATCCAACGTGGCCTTGAACACCTCCAACACATCTACCACTTCTTTGAGCAACCTGTTCCAGTGTATCACCACCCTCACAGCTTTAATGAAGATATTAAATAGCATCAGAGCCAGTAGTGCCTCCTGAGGAACACCACTAGTGTTCACCACTGGCTAGTTCAACTCTGACCTGGTGTGTGTTCTTCCTTCAGCCCCGTGGTCCAGCCAATTTTCTATTCAATCTTGTCCTTCTCCTGATCAGTCCTCACATCTCCAACTCAGCACCCAGGATACTACTGGAGAGTGTCAAAAGCCTTATCAAGGTTCAGGGAAACAACATCTGCTGCTCCCCATTGCCTACTGAGATACCCATTGCCCACTGGCACTGCCCATTGGCATCACTGCCCTTAGTGCTGTCCACCCTGTTCATCACAGAGACCTCGTGAAAGGATCCTAATGAAATTGGTTTCCTGGTACAGCTAATATAGCACTGAGGACTTGATTGAATAGCAACACCAAGAGACAACGGCAAAATAAATGCTGTTTGAAAATATTGCTGCAAACTCATCATATCCATAGATAAAGGGTTGATGTGTTAGGAATCAGCTTCCCTGGAATATTCCTCTAATTGTTATGGTTCTTTAGGTGTAGGGAAATAATTTTCTGGATTTGGATCACTACGTTAGTTAGTCTGACAAGCCCAAAATAAAGCAAATTTTCACACATCAATCATTAGCATATTTGCCTAAGAAACAGTGTGCAGAATTCATGCAAAATCAACAGCTTATTCAAGTAAATACATATTCATAATTATTCTATGTGAAATACTGCCTTCTGAGTTTATTCAGTGAATACTAACTACTTTCCTAACACTTATACCAAAATAACAGTTCCCCTGTTACTATGGAGAGGGAGAGGAGAAAGTACTGTGCTTCAGCACTAATTGTAAAGTCTTTGGAGTACGAACAAGATAGTGTCATTCCCTCATATACAGTAATAATAATTTAGCAGCCCAAAGTGTTACATTCAAGGTTTTAGAGAGAGACACAGAAAGATGCTGATGGTCTAGAGACCTACCGAAGGGTTGTTTTATGGGAGGGACATTTTCAGAGATAATGAAGGGAAAGTGTAACTCTCAGCTGAAGCGAAACAAACATGAGCACAGATCTGGCATTAGCAAACGTGCTACATCTTAAACCGATTCTAGCTGGCTGGACACAACCATTGCTATCACAGCCAATCCCTTTTGCACCTCGGTTAGCAAAGCCAAGTGAGGATACATATACTTGAAGGAATCAGTATGCACGTGTGTGCACGTACACACCTGCAGACACACATCCATTTGATTCCTCATCTCCATAACCTGATCTGCCTGCAGCAAGCAATCGCTCCACTTCACCCCTCCAACGCGTTGGAAAGGACAAGCCTTGCATGTTTTATTACCACGGGTGTAGAAAAACTAGACTGCAACTCACATTGATCAGGGAGCCAATAAGGCGAGGAACCCTCCTTGCAATATGGAGCCTGCAGGAGCAGTGATTGCCCAGCGGCGATTGCAGCGCTGCCAAGCGTCACCGCAGCGAGGAGGCACAGAGAGACTCTCTCAAATAAAGGACGGGGCACGCTGCGTTTCACAGTGCAGCTAAAAATAATATTTGACACTTTAACACCTTTTTGCTGAGGATTACTAAGCACTTTGTACAAGCTAATGATATTCGGGTTCCAAGCACCCGTATGTGGGGTGTTTTCCATATATGATATTCGGGTTCCAAGCACCCGTATGTGGCAGTTTTCCATATGGCAGAGGGGCTTTTTCATCCCTAAAAGCATGTCGCTCTCATTATTATGCAGCAGATTTTTTTTTTTTTTTGTTTCTGTACACCAGGCCTGGGTTCTTACAAGGAAGTGATTATACTTGTCTAAATGGAGATTCTGGTGACAAGATAATTTACAACGCTCTGTTGCATAATCATTGAGCCAAGGTCAGGGAAACCATTGATGTAGCAAAGTCAGGGCAGCTGTAAATAAAACACACATCACGGAAGGGTTCATTCTCAGTGGGAACAGACGGAGAAGAAAGAACAGACAAGAAAGAATCTTGCCATGGTAAAATCTTATCCCCCCCCCTCTTTGACTCCACAGATCCTGTGCCTGGCTAATTAAAGAAGGAGGTGTAACTATCAATCTAATCTCGCTTGTTCTCAAATTTGCCATAATTTCTACACTTGAGAGGCTTGGTGAAATGAAACAGCACTACTACAGTTTTCCATTCATCAGCAGGAAGCAGAACAACTCAGGGAATTGAGCTAAAAATAATGAAGAAGAAGCGGGATCAGGTGCCGCGCACATGCATCTGTGTCTGCACACGGGCATTCAGGCACAGGAGCATTCACTGGAGGCAGGAGCAGGAGATGAGCACCACCAGTCATTTCATCTCGCCATATGAATGCTTGCAGATGTACTCCCAGCTTACCTATTCAAGGCAAAAATGCCCAGGAAAACTGCCATCAAATGATGCTATAAACAAAACCCGGCTTTTCAAACCAATATGGCCACCAGAATCATAGAATCATAGAATCATTGAGGTTGGAAGAGACCCTTGGGATCATCGAGTCCAACCATCTACCCTACTCTACAAAGTCCTCCCCTACACCATGTCCCTTAGCACTGCATCTAAATGACCCTTAAACACAGCCAGGGATGGTGACTCCCCCCCCTCCCTGGGCAGCCTGTTCCAATGCCCTATCACTCTTTCGGTGAAAAATTCCTTCCTAATGTTCAATCTAACCCTACCCTGTTGGAGCTTGAAGCGATTCCCTCTCGTTCTATTGTTAATTACCTGCGAGAAGAGACCAGCACCAACCTCTCTACAGTGTCCTTTCAAGTAGTTGTAGAGAGTGATGAGGTCTCCCCTCAGCCTCCTCTTCCTCATACTAAACAGTCCCAACTCCCTCAGCCGCTCCTCATACGATTTGTTTTCCAGCCCCCTCACCAGCTTCGTCGCCCTCCTCTGCACTCGCTCCAGCACCTCGATATCTCTCTTGTATTGAGGTGCCCAAAACTGGACACAATACTCGAGGTGTGGCCTCACCAGTGCCGAGTACAGGGGCACAATCACCTCCCTACTTCTGCTGGCCACACTATTTCTAATACAAGCCAGAATGCCGTTGGCTTTCTTGGCCACCTGGGCATGACACCATCAGCGGTGCTGCAGGAGCCACTCGGGAGCTGCTGGGGCAACCACAGCACGCAGGGTGCTCGGCACGTGGCCCTGTCCCCAGCCCAGGGTGGGTGCAGAGCAGAGATGGCACCCTTCAGCAGGAAGCTCTGGTGTTATTTCACACGCACCCCCCATCGCTTTGCATTTGGGCAGCAACACGAGAGTTTTTCAGAAAGAATTGGGGTGACTTTGGTACCTTTTCCATACAGGGACATCGGGAGCGAGGTGCAGGGCTGCTGGAGGGGGCTCTGCTCGGCACGACATGGATGCAGCTGGTCCAGAACCTCCTTGGAAAGATGGACTGGTCAGACACACAGATATCCTGGATGGTCAGAGCTGTTCTTCAAAATCCACTTGTGTGAGATCCCTGAAAGAGAGAGGACATGCCTGAGGGGCCGGCCCTAGGATGGAGGACTGAACTAAATAAGTAGTTCTTACCCCAGGAACCCGCTATCCAGCAAGAAGGATTTCTGAGAAAGATTCTTCAACATTACCACAAGGCAGCCAAAACATACAATTACTTGCCATGTTCCAGGAAAAGCCTGAACTATCTAGTTGGCAGCTCTTTTTAAAAGCGTATAAAGAAGTGATAACGGGCCAAATCCTCAAGCCAGTGTGAATCAACTCTATTTGCTTGCCTCCACTGGAACACCCACTCTTTATTTCAGTTAAGGAGCTAACACACAGCCTCTTAATATGCATTTATGTTAATATGTGCACTTTGCAGGGCTAGGTAGATTGCAAGGCTGGCACGTGTCAGACTAAATGGCTTCCAAAAGCCAAGGGACCTAACTGGAAGCTGCCATTCAGAGTGACTGGCTGACAACATGTGGAACCTCTCCGGAAAAAGCCTTCCCACCTCAAGCACCTCCTTGTGATTAATCTTTCACACAGACAATACACATTACTATTTCAAGAAGCTGAATTTTTAAGGTCAGAATACATTAATGAACGGAGAAAAACCATGAAGAAATTAGCATCTTGTGGACCTGCACTGGCAGGTGGGTTGGACTAAATGATCTCCAGAGGTCCCTTCCAACCCTATCATTCTGTGATTCTGTGATCTTCAAGCACTGTGAGACACAGGGAAAGAACACATAGATGGAGTAGCCAGATCCCTTTCAAGGCCACAGCTGTAGCCCCTCTCTGCAACGTTGCCTCCTGGCAGTGAGACTCGGTCCAATCCCAGAATCTGGACTCAGTGCCAATCACTCCAGTGTTATTAAGATGCGTGGCACCATGGTGGAATTTGAATCAATGCTGCTTTCCCACAGGTTGGAGCGGGCTGGGGAGCAAAAGCTGACATGCAAAGTCACAGAGCTGCCCAGTAATGATGAGGTTGTGGATTGTGCAAGCTTAGAAAATAATCTGGAATAAGGAACGTGAGCATTATTGCCTTTGACACTGTGTCTGATCTCGAACTGCTGTTAGATGATTCTGCCCCTCTACTCTGCTCTGGTGAGACCCCACCTGGAGTACTGCGTCCAGCCCCGGAGTCCTCAGCATAGGAACAACATGGACCTGTTGAAATGGGTCCAGAGGAAGGCCGTGAAGATGCTCAGGGGACTGGAGTACCTCTGCTATGAAGACAGGCTGAGAGAGTTGGGGTTGTTCAGCCTGGAGAAGAGAAGGCTCCGGGGAGAACTTACAGCAGCCTTCTAGTACCTGAAGGAGGCTCCAGGAGAGATGGGGAGGGACTCCTGATCAGGGAGTGGAGCGATAGGACGAGGGGGAATGGTTTTAAACTCAAAGAGGAGAGATTTAGATGAGGTATTAGGAAGAAACTCTTTCCTGTGAGGGTGGTGAGACACTGGAACAGGTTGCCCAGACAAGTTGTGGATGCCCCATCCCTGGAGGTGTTCAAGGCCAGGCTGGATGGGGCTTGGAGCAACCTGGTCTGGTGGGAGGTGTCCCTGCCCATGGCAGGGGGCTGGAACGCAATGATCTTCAAGCTCCCTTCCAACCCAAACCATTCAACGATTCTATGATTCTATACAACTTAAACTATGAGTATGTGACAAAATTCGAGATTGTTTCACAAAGACTTGTCATCCTCCTTCACCAGATCACTCTCTGTAAGACATGAGGTAGGGGGAGTTCAAATACATCACATCAGAATGAATATAAATGGTAATGATCATGCTCCTCCACAACACAGATCCCTTCCAACCCAAACCATTCAACGATCCTATGATTCTATACAACTTAAACTACGAGTATCTGACAGAATTTGAGATTGTTTCAAAAAGACTTGTCATCCTCCTTCACCAGATCGCTCTCTGTAAGACATGAGGGAGGGGGAGTTCAAATACATCACATCAGAACGAATATAAATGGTAATGATCATGCTCTTCCACAACATTGCTGCTCTAAGGAATCAGTTAATTAACCCTGAATCGAGCAGGCTTGCCGCTCAGGAATACAGCAGTTGAATTGATACCAGCTTCCTGACCCCTGCCTCTCAAGGACAAGATTCAGTAACCCTAATTTATGTTAAACATTAGCTTACCCTGTGAGGAACCTTGAGAAATCAATAGGGATTGCACTGCACGAGTAAGAGTGGCAGAATCTGATGCCAATTATAAACTCGGATTGGCCCTCAACTGGGTATTTCTGTCTGCTTTTTAGTTTTTTATTCTGTCTTTTCATATTCCTCCTCCCCCATGTCTGCACCCAAGAAGATACAGAACCCTCCCTCTTACAGAAGGCATTTGAATGGTTGTGCTTTTCCTCTTTAATCCAAAAAGTATGAATATTTCTTGTTACAGGAAGGTAATGTTTGACAAAACTTGGCAGATTGGAGTGTATTTCTAAACCTGGAACGAGCCCAGCCTTCTTGACAAAATGGAAGCAAAAATTTGTGGCTTTTAAATGTGAAGTGGTTTATTTCTTTTTGAACAAAAAAGTGGAGCTGAAATCACTAGAGAAAGCATTAAGAGAAGCAATCTGGGTTTAAAGAAAAGGAGATATAAGATCTGCACTTTTTTTTTTTTTTTTTTTTAACCAAAGCGCGTGGGGGAAGAGGTGGATAGAAACAAGGGGACGTATTTTCCATTTGCAGTTCCTTTCCCCAGATTTTCCCAGAAGCAGAACAGACTGCAGTCGGGAACTGAAAGCCTTAAGATACTGGTAAAGAGAAGAATACCCGTGTGATGCAAATGGGAGGTGTGAAAGAAAAACCCTTCAGCCTTTTATTTTGAGACAGCTCAAAGTTAAATTTCATCTCGCTGCGCCAGGAAACTGGGTCTCCCGAGAGCTGTAGCTTGGGTTTCTGTGTCTCCTCTCTGCTCCAGCCTCCCATGTTGGACTCCTTCTCTAAAATGCCACTGCCACATGCCACATACAGCAGGCTGGTGGCCACAGCTTGGCCAGAAAAGTACATGTTGCCACTGGAGCAGAAGTTGGGAACAGGGAAGCTGGAGGCTGGTGGGGGCAGCTCCCCACTGGCTTCACAGGGAAGTAACTCAGGCCTCCACCTTTTGGGTGAGCTCAAACGCACCCGAGGGCTTCCACATCTCCCGCTGAAAGAGCTGTCAGTGTTGTGAGAATTGGTCACATGGCAGAACATTGCATTTTTGATCAAAAACATTGTTTTAATGGGAAATTTAGAAGCAGGCCTATTGTTACTGAAAAGGAACGGTTCCAAAACAAACCCTCCCTGGGATCTCAGGAATGAAATCACGCAGAAATCATCCTTCCACCACTGATGTGCCGGCACAATAGATACCAATGTTTTCTGCTCCTGAATGACTGTTGTTCACTCTGCCTTTTTCTTCAAAGCCGAGTGACAGATTGTGCTGGAATGAGAGGGGAGGCATCGCTACCTTGGAGCTGTGTAACTGCCTGTGACTGTGCAACAGCGACTAGTTTTGAGTCTCTATTTCTCCCCAGTTTAGTAGGTACTTTTCTGTTTGAATTGGATGCTTTGAGATTTTTTTGAGCTTGTTTTTATGTCTGACTGCCTGAGACTATTAGATACCTAGCAAGCTAAAAGAAAAAAAAAAAACAAAAACCAGCTGTGTCTGGCTCTGGTGTTGTTTTCTGCTTCTATCCTAAAGCCATGTCAGGTTGAAACAAGGTACACAGCATCTCTCCCATCCTCCTGCTTCGACAGTGTCCTGGTTTCCATGGAAAAGAAAACCTGCAGTATACGCTGAAAGGGAATTGCAGCGTGGTCAAATAGGTCCCTGATGTAGCTGCTGGGGGAAGCAGGTCTGCAGGCACCTGCCCTGCTGCAGAGACAGAGCCAGCAAGTCAGGAGCATCTTATTCTCTCTGTGGATGCAAACAAGAAGATTTATTGCTCAGCATAGTATTGCCTCTGGGGCTGGCATTGGATTTCTCCCCAAACTGTTACTTCATTTCATGTTCCTTTCAAGCTCCTCTGCTGTGCAGAAAATTTTAGAAGGAAATGCCACTGGATTACACAGCTGCTGTCTGCCTGGGCTTTAAATGTGCCAATTTGCATCAGTCTGTAGGCAGTGCTGAGAACAGGCTGGAAGTGACTGCAGCCTTCCGATGTTACTAGTGGCATCTTACTTGCAAATCTGAAACAATCGAAGGGAAAAGGTGCAGAGAGCTAGAGACAGCCAGCTCTGAGCTACTAAAAATAATAAATCCTGCTTTTCTTCTGCGGAAAGCATGTGTGAAACACAGCACTCTTGAGGGACGCCCTACAAGACGCCAGCACGAAGCTGCTGTAATTGATGGAAGAAAAATGAGGTTCACAAAGTGAAAATGTCCCAGTTTGTGTAACCGATTAGGCTGGGAAGGAAAATTGTTGAGAACAAGCCTGTCACTAAACACACAAAGTAACAGTACCATGTACTATGAGAAAGCCGATTCCTATCCTTGCTTCGCAGACACGAACAATTTGGACAAGAACCCAACTTCAGAAATGCTGGCTGAAAGTGAAGCTCTGAAGCTTTGCAGTTGCCTTTTAACAGCTAAGCAGGCATATTGTTATGGGAAGCATCAGTACAAAATCTTCTACTGTTACCTTTACAGTGTGCAGGCAGGTTTTAATCTCTTACAGAGACCTGCTCTCTTGCTGTTCAGTCTTGGGGTTAAGCAAGGACTTTGTGCCTTGGCAGACTGGGAAGAAGAGGAGGCAACGTGAGCAGCCTGAAAATTGGCCGTCTGCCTCGACTCCTGTGAAATCACTTCTGCTGTTAAGAGGTGTCTCTTGGGAACCAGACAGAGATGTTGGGCTAGGATTCCTGCGTGAAGGAACTGCCTGGCATGTTGGCTGCACATCCTCATTTTGGGACTGGTATGTACTTGTGAATAAAGCGATTCAAATTTAGAATACCCTCAGACTTCTTTG